CCCAAAATACTCTCCAAACCTCGCTCCACCAGATTATCCTCCGCTCCGCTCTCTGGCAAACCTCATGAATTGTGCATGTCTCGGTTTCAGTAAGCAACTTGAGCTCTGGTTTGATGACTTTCTTGGGACCCGGCGCGCTGCCGTTTGAAAAATTGAGGTTGAGAAGCTAACAAGAATGTGCCAAAAGGTCGTGCGCTACAACCAGGAATAAAATATTGAGTGATTTTTGCTGTAAATTGATGATTTTTTTGGTTTAAAAAAACGCTGCGAACTTATGGAACGTCCTAATATAACAGTCTGCGTATCTGCAGTCTTAGAAAATGAGAGAGGTTGACTTGAATTTGAAGATTTGCTCATTGTTAATTTTGAGTCTTTCCAATAGATTGAACGACAGAAAATGAAACAGCTTACTTTTTATTACAATTTTAGCTTTTTTGTTCCATATAACAGCAAGCAGCTGCAACTCAAAAGTTGCTCATATAAGCGACCTTCGCCTATTATTTTGGTAACGCTTTAACACTCGTCCCCACAACACTACGCGTGGCGCTTTGGAAAACTCGGGCAAAGTTTTTTGAAACATCTTCAATCTTGCGCTGCTATACCATAAAGTCATAATGCGAGTAAAATACCATTAGAAAGAGCGCGCTTTATGGTTTTTTGAATGGTATATTAGTGCATAAAATTCCATTCTATTTATTTTCCAGAAAAAAAAGCAAAAAGCTGAAATGTTATTTGCGATTTTTTGGCGCAATAAAAAAGCACCAAAAATCTATGTTTCAACCTATAATCCCGGAGGTAGAGGAAAACTGAGGTAAACTGCTTATATTAGGTCGTTTCGAAAGTAATTTCGCTTTTTCATACGGGCACCACATTTGATGGAACAAAGGTTTCTGAGAGAACTTGGAAGCATTCGATGCAGAATTTCATTTTCTTTCTAATGGTTATGAAAGTGTTGCAAAACAGTCAATGAGCTTTCAGAAAATAACCAAAGTCTGCGACCCATGCTTTTTGAGATAGTCTAATTCCACAATTTTTTAAAACTTTCACATCAAATCTCAGAAGAAGTTCAGGTAACTGTTCGATAGAGCAAACCATATAGAATGCAAAACTACTTTTTTGTCCTTTCCATAGCTTGTCAAACATTTTTGACAGAATTTTAACTGATGCTACCGATTTTCATACTTGAACAGCTAAATCCTCGTAGAACATAAAAGGAGGAGTAGCTCGGCCACTATTCGACGCAGCATCTTCTCCTCTTTCTAACATGTGGTTTTTGTTTCAGATTCTTTTAGTTTTCGGGGATAAAATCATCACAATTCATTTTTTCAAGGAGCCTCATGCTCTACCTGAAAATCACGAAATTTGATATTTCGAACCCGTAAACCCTCACTTGCTTTGCAAAGTTAGTGCAAACTCATAGTACAGTCTTGGTAGTCTCAAATTCCGAAAAATTATGATGTTTGCTGCGATTGTGGCTGAGGTGGGCCTGCCAAAATCCGATGGCTCTATTAAAAAATCTTTTAAAAAATTACGGCAAGCTATGAGAAAGAGAAAAAAGTAGCACTGTATTCTATGGGGTTTACTCTATCGAATCGTTACTTGAACTTCTTCTGAGGATTGATATGAAAGTTTTAAAAAATTGTGAAACTTGACCATCTTAAAAAGCATGAGTCGCAAGTTTTGGTTATTTTCTGAAAGCTCATTGACTGTTTTGCAAAATTTTCATAACCATTAGAAAGTGAATGAGATTCTGCATCGAATGCCTCCAAGATCTCTTAGAAACCTTTGTTCCATCAAATGTGGCGCTCGTTTGAAAAAAGCGAAATTACTTTTGAAACGACCTAATATTAGGTCATTCCGAAAATAATTTCGCTTTTTTCCAAGGGACTCCACATCTGACAGAAGGAAGTTTTCTGAGAGTTCCCGATAGCATTCGATGATTTTCCTCCTCTTTTTAGCATCCTCATCTGTAAACATGTTGCAGCACAGTCAATAAGCTCTTGAAGATTACCAAAATCTGCGACCCATGCTTTTTGAGATGCTCAAGTTTCACAATTTTTCTAAACTTTTATATCAATCCTCCAATGGAGCCCAAGCAGCGGATAAGTAGCGCATTTTCTACAAATAGAAAACAAGTTTTTTCTCCCTTCCATAACTCGTCGTACTTTGTCAGTAGAATTTCAATTGATGCTGCCAATTTTTACACATGGTCACTCAAACCTCGTAGAACATTAAACGGTGAGCAGCTCGGGTATTATTGGATGCAGCGTTTTCTCCTCTTTCTGATGGGTGATTTTTGTTTTCGCTTCGTGGAATGTTTGGGGATGAAATCATTCATAATTCACATTCTCAACGCTTACTGGGCTGTACCCGAAAAATTCGAATCTAGATATTTTGATTCCGTGAACCCTCAATCGCTTTGTGATTAGTGTTAAATCATAGCACCACCTTGAAAGTTTCAGATTCCGAAGATTTATTGGTGTGTGATCCGAATGTGGTTAACGTATGCCTTCCAAAATCGATGATTAGTGAAAAATCTTTTAGAAAATTCTGGTTTAAGGGAACGAGAAAAAGTCGCGTCGTATCCTCTGAAGTTTGCTCTATCGAACCATTACTTGATCTCTTTCGTTGATATAAAAGTTTGGAAAAAATTGTGAAACTGGGGCATTTCAAAAAGCGTGGGTCGCAGATTTTGGTAAGCTTCCAAGAGCTTATTGACTGTACTGCAACGAGTTCATAAAAGTTAGAAAGAGAATAAAATTCCACGAATGGTACCAAAATTTTTCAGAGAACTTCCTTCCGTCAGATGTGAAGCCCTTTGAAAAAGCGAAATTACTTTTGGAATGACCTAATAGATAAATAGGGCGTAAAGGAATCTAGATAGCAGCCAGGAAACATGAACCTAACTATATGTTTTTTGGCTTCCAGAAAACATATACTTTGGCAATGTTTTTTTATGCCTAAGTAAATGTCACTCTGGTTGTTCAAATGATAAAGGATTTCGCTGGAAGCGATCGACCACATATGTGAGCAGATGCTTTTGATTACTTGAGATTAAACACAAGGAAAATTCGATTCTCATTGGATCGGAGTCCACTTTCATAAATGTACGAGCCCAATTCAGTGGCTTTATGTACTAGGCTGTTACTGTATTAGGCTCGCACGTATACAGTTGCTTCTTCAATTATAAAGGAGTGTGCGTTCCTGCTCTCAGAGGGTATTGAAGACGCCGAATCCTTAAACCTCAACCCTTTTATCATAAATATAAGCTTTTACCATACGTTTAAACTTTCAGTACTTGCCAAGCTTCAACTTTTCTCCATTCTCCTTTTGTGTGCCGTATACTTCATTCCCAAGATTTGTTCATTGAAGAGTTCCAATGAACTATTGCTCTCGCAGTATATCTTCGAAATGAATTACATAAATTTATCGTCTTTCAACAACTGAGTCTGAGTGCCTTTTCCAGAACTAATTTGGAGTCGGCATTCTTACAATGTAAGTTAGGTTGAATAATATCGCAGCAAAATATAAGCAAACATTGAACTCTTCAGATTGTCATTACAAACATTGCCATCCATTATTTGCAATGATTGTAGAGCTAGCGTGTTTGACTTATCTACAAGTCTTAGTTTGTAAACTCTTGCTTGCATCAATTTCGTATGCCTATGATTACGAAAAAGCTGCTAGTGTTCTGATAAAAACAGATTGTCAAAGCTTTGGTTTTGCCGAAATTTTTCTTAGTGCTATAGATTCCGTGAAGCTAAAGCGAGGCTTGTGTGATAGTTTTAGAGTGTTTGGAGAAGAAAATAGCAAATATTTCAAAATAATGCAATTTCCGCTGAGTTCAATTCTGAGGGGACATGCCGGGCGGTCCCGAAAACGTGTTAATATGCTAATCGAATGATTGAATACGCGGAGAGCTCTCATACTGGGCTGATTAACATTGCTGATTCCAAATGTGAAACCAACACTTCATGTAATTGCTTGTTTTATAAGTATGAGCTAGAAGCTAAGCTATACAAGCTAGATGTACCGAAATGATCGGTTTTTCGATGCTCCTTGAAAATTTGATGCACCATTTATAAAGCCTAAAACTAGTAAAAAGAAGTTTTGTAGGAATCATATGCCTGAAAACATTGTTACACACTTCTTTTGGAATAATTTGGAATTTTCTTTTCAAACGGTCCAGTTCACGGTGACGAAATATGCTGAAAGTTCCTACCGTAATCTTACACTAGGAATGAGCGATCAGTGATTCGCTCTGAAGTATGAATCTAGGTTGAAGCCAGTTTACAAAAAAAAGTGGTACCTAAGCTTCTAGAAAGACTTTGTGACAATAGAGCCATCAACAATCGAGCAGCAGACACATTTTTTGGGACACCCTATATGATATCCAGTCAACAAATGTTCATGTACAGTTACCATATGCTCTTGTACTTTTGTAAGTTCTACAATATTTTTTCATATGTTTGAGACTATTTTTGTTTTCCAGAAAACCTTTTTATAGAAGATTTGTTTACAAACTTGTCTCGCTATGCTTCATACTTTAGTCACACAAGGAATTTGAAGTTATTATATTTTGCAGAAATACTTGCATCGAAAAAGTCGAAAATGCTCTCAGATTTCAAGATTTAACTTCTTCAAAACATTTGCATTCTAGTGGGAACACCTTCAAACCCGCTTTTTGATAGGCTTTCGTTTCAGTTTTGCGCAGTCGAGAGATCTCTTTCTCTTAGTAATTTTTTCCTTGAGAAAGAAAAGTTATTTCATTCAATTCAAGAAAATCATCACTTCAAATTACTCAATGGGGTGTCTTTGATAAACTGAGAGACTTTTACTCCAAAAAGTACGAATCTTAACTTATAGTTCTTATAGGTCTTGTACATTGTTACATGTCCACAGACTAAGTTCGTCTAAAAGGAGACACGTCATGACCCTTCTTTGGCAATAAATGTTCCTGCCACTGACCCCTTGTCAAACGCATTACACGAGCTGGACAAAACCAGCTCTTAGCCGAGACCGTTGTACCTATTTAAGTACTCGCATTCTGCCTTACATCAGCACATATGCCTTAGATCTTCAGGAGAGCGTGACTAGAATCGCGGCGTCGTACGTTCTGCATTCCTAGCAATTTATTCGCCCCAGACAAAGCTCTGGAACAATTATTTTATTCCCTCAAGATTTTCGCTCCATTATGCTGACACTGCTGTTGCTGCTTATAACCTTCAGATTTGCTGATGCTCAGCTAGGAAATTTGTTTGGAGGCCTGTTCTCTGGTCTTGGAGGCCTGTTTCCAGGACTGGGAGGTGGAGGCTTGTTTGGAGGTTTGCCAGGCATGGGAGGTCAAGCTGGTGGGTGCTGCTGCTGTTGTTGGTAAGTGGTCGCAATTAAGCTTTGCTAAATAACTTCGAGCTAAGACAACTATTTCAGCTGTCCAAGTGGTGGCACCGGAGTTGTGCAACCACCACCAGTTCAACCTCCTCCGGTCTGTCCTCCTTGTCCACCCTGCATTCCACAACAACCAGTGATCCAACAACCACCAACACCTGTTTGTCCACCCTGCGTTCCACAACAACCAGTGATCCAACAACCAGTAATCCAACCACCAGTAATCCAACAACCAGTTATCCAACAGCCACCAACACCTGTTTGTCCACCCTGCCCAGCAGTCCCACCACAAGTGGTCCAACCACAAACAGGTTGTCCACCGTGCCCACCAGTTGTAGTAGTACAGCAGCCTCCTAGTATACAACCACCTCCTGGTGGGACATATAACATTCCACCAGGAGCTGTACCAGCCCCGTCATACGGAGCTCCATCAGCCGTAGCACCGGCATCCGCACCATACGGAGCTCCTTTGGCTGCACCAGCACCACCGCCACCAGCAGCAGATGCTGCAGCAGCACCAGCAGCTGGCGGAGACGCTGGAGCACCTGCATGGCTGTTGGTAATATAGCTGGAAATTCTTTTTCAGCTGCAGGCGGAAGTACTTTTGTTTGTGTGGTAACATTATCTGAATTTTTGTAACTACGCGTATCCGACAACACAATTTAATAGCAATTTTATTAACCAAGCGTCTCATAATGTGATGTTCTGATATCCAGCTTTTTGCAATCGAAGTTCAATGCCGTATACATTATATTACTTTTGTACAAACTTTTTTGTTACTTGAAAGAGACGATATTACAGCAGTCCACTGTGGTGCTACACGGCATCTGATTACTTTTTATGAATCGTTGCACTTCATACTGTATCTCGTTTATAACGTATCATCTGCCATGACTAAACTTGGAATGCTCTTTTCCCGAATGTGCAGAGCTACGGATAGTTTGTTATTATGTTGTTGTGTAGTTGAATAAAATTCTTCTGATTTTTCATTAACTGATGACTAGATTTGAGTGGAATGTTTCCCAAATAAGACAAAAAAACCTTCTCATTTCCTGAATGGAGGGGGAAGTCTAAGATTTCTGTCCTACTGTTCAAAGCGTGCACAGTTCTAGATCAACGGATAAAAAGTAGCATCATTTTCATTCGCAAAAATTGATGTACGAAAAGTTTAGGTACCCTAATTTCTGGCGTATACAAGGCGGGAAGATTTTTTTTTTCGAATTGAGCAGCACGAACAAGTTGAAGGGCTCGCGAGAACAGAGCCCTATCCTGCAGCATACTACCCGAGAGAGTCGTGCGGCATAAGAATCGTCCTCCGAACAAATGAAGCGGTTTAAGGCACCGTCTACCCAAAATTTCGACCTTCAATTTGCTGATCTAGGGCCTTCTCATACCCCTGAATCCGAATATCAAGTTGAAAATCCGCGAAAAAAACGAAAAACCCCTGTTTTAAAAACCGCGCAGAGCAAATTCTACGGTACATGATTGGTTGGGCGCGCACGGATGGGCGGGACGAACGTCACGCCCACTTCGAAAGGGGAGGAGCCAGCGTCGCGAACGCGGACTGGAGCGATTTCCAAAGCAGTTTTCTCGGTTTGGAAGCAACTTCAGGCAGCGCGAGTTGGGCAATCATACAGTTGGGGGTCCCGTATCTGCTAGGTATCATAATCTCACCAACCTTACTTTGGGTGGACGGTACCTTTAAGCGGCTTGTCTGAAAAATCAAAAAAGAGGGCCTTGTACTTTTGAATATAAAGTGATAGTGTATAAATTTACAACTTCAGGTTGACTCAAGAGAAGGACAATCAAAATTGTGTCAATGTGAATCTAGTTGGTGTCACTCACAGCAACAAGGCAAAGCGTATGACTTTATGAGAAAATTTAATGACAAATACACATCATTCAACCAAGAGCAGCCGTTGATGCTTGCAGGAGCAGACTCGCATTAGCAAGTTACTTGCGATAGAGGTTAACCTCACCGCCAGGCATTTTCTGCTTGCAAAATCTATTTGCGCATTTTCCTACTCCATAAGCAATGGAAATGGCCTATGAAAGGGACCACTAATCCGCGGTGACCACATGCTGGCTGTACTTGTTTCTCTACTGGCAATGCGATTTGGACTCACCGAACAACCTTGAACTTTTCGCTTTGCAAGAGCAAGAAAAGAAACTTCATAAATTTGGCAATAAACATGACTTCCTGAAGTTTCACATCAATGAACGACTCAAGGTCATGGTTTCTACGTCACATAATGGTTGTAAAATAGTCATCTACCATGTGATTTATACTGCAATAATCTGCAAATTTGCACATACACCACGGAACATAACATAACAGATGGACAGACTCTATTAGGGAAGCAGTCTGCTATGAACAAATGGATATTTCATATATGCAAGTTTCGTTGGATGGTCGCTTTTTCAGCGAAGAAAGTGAAAGCCAACGCATAACTTGACTGCACCCCCATTGGATTCTAATCAGACTACCTATTGCTATTTTCTATGCCTCTCTACAAAACACTTGCTCACTCATATTAGGGGTAATTTTTAGATGGTTTTTGACTCAAAGCAGTTGCAATTGAATTATCACTCAATTCACCACAGCCATGAAATTATATCCAAGCTGTTTTTTAGGTACCTATTTTCGGTGAGAAAGCAATTAAAACCAAGAAGTCAGTTTTGAAAAGATCTGCATTGGCATGCGTTAAACTGCAGAATACTGTATATTAGCGGACTGCATGAGTTGCTCTACACAGATTGCTAATATGAAGCTCAACTTCTTGCTACAGTGAATACGGGAACAATCATAACAAAGACTTCCGCAAGTTGGGCAAAGTTGACGTACGGAGTGGGAAGTAAAAATATTTTCAAAGGCACCGTCCACCCAAATCCTCGACCTCCATGTTTTGGTCGCTTACAGGCCTTCTGAAGGCCCTGAACTCCAATATGGAGTCGAAAAGTCACGAAACCCCAAAAAAATCCCGTTTTGGAAGGCCTGGCGGACGGCGCAGGTGCAAGTCGCAGAGCTGCGGCGCTGTTATACGCCCAGCGTAAATCAGCGCCGCAGCCCGCCAAACCTGCAAAATGGGCAGTGTGACCAGCTGGGCTGAGTGACCAGCTCTGGATTACGTATCTTCCGGAGCGGATTTCTCGCTCCGGAAGCATTCTTTTGCGGGGAAACTTGGGGGTTGGCCTAGTGTGGGGCCCACATCAGTATGCCATCAAATCTCGTGAACCCCCACTTTGGGTGGACGGTGTTTTTAAAGTCTATAAAAGCGATTTTTTTAATAAAAAAGCACTTTTTTTGTAAGCAAAATCATAAGGACTCATATCTTACTGCAAACCAATTGGCAAACCCAGCTCTGCTCGGCAATGCCAATAATGTTGATATTTTCTTGATCAGCATGCTCACTTGCCCCCTGTGATACTTCCAACCTCGTAGGCAAACCCTGCAAAATCGGAAAAATTATTTAGAACATACATGCAGACCTGACATACAGGCTCACACACACATACAAACAGACATTCAGATTTATTTGTACAGCTAGAGCAATCTTGACATGCTAAAGAGCTAAAGTGCTTGAATCGCGAGGTGCTATTGTGCGCTTGTGACAGAATTATGCTGATCCCTTTTTAGTTTTTGATTTATTTCTCCCATTCTTTTGGAATGAAGCCCAGCAGAACCATTGATAAGCGGAAGCTTCTGCCACATGCTAAGGCAACGGCGTCGGATTTAAAAACATGAGCCACTGGCAATTACCATTCGTAAAATCAGTGCACTTTGTGGTACACAATGCAGCGGACTCAGGAATACTTGAGCTATTAGCCAAAAATCCCGCTTCCGCTTCCATTTTTTGTTCTGTTTTTGCCGCACCTCTCTTGCAGCTGGAAGAGGCATTATTGTATTCAGTCACAAGCAAAGGTAAATTTCTCAAACTTGAGAATGGTTTCGATAATTACTATCCCCGAAGCAGAAAGCATTCCTATGCTTTGCAAATTTATTCTGAACTGAGTCTAGAAACCTTTAAAAGGAATTATATATTGTCTAGAGCACTGTCTGCATTTCCTATACTACAGGATTTCCCAAGGGTATGTAGTTACGCAGTTTATGGTTCTTAAAATCTTTTCTTAATATCGTTTGCTGACTTCTAGGTACCATTATGTAGAGTTGACTTCATCTAGCTTAATATGGAGCGGTTCAGTCCTACAGTTGAAAAAGGATTTCATTAAGGGTCGTATTTTACTCTAGAAAGGAGACCTCATTCTAGCAAGGAAAGCATACCGAATCATGTTGGCGAGTGAAGACGACATATATGTCCTTAAACGCTCCCTTTAACGCTGATTCCATGTTCGCTTTTTTGCAACAAATTTTTGAAAGAAGTTATGAGCATTCAATCCAAGTTCGTCAACCCTTGAGGAGCATAAAATCAGAGAAGCTCCAACCTAGATATCAATCACAAGGAAGGAAAGCCCGTAGAAATCTGCATAGGTATTTCTGTAGAATTTTTCGCTAATTCTATGCCACCTAAGGCTTGACAGGTCCAGACTTCTAAATGCTCGTCTTTCATGAAAAGAACTATTTCCACAGAAAAGAAAAAAAACAAATTTGGAATAAGCGCTTAAAGACGCGTCTAGTGATATACACTACGTCCTCAACCGCAAACCTGACTTAGTATACTTCCTTCATAAATACTATTTGATTCAAGGCTAGATAGTGATCAGAGAGCACTCGCGCGAGAGAGACGCAAGTGCGTCGCGAGCGCGAGCGTCCATAATTAGGTCACGAAGCCCCGCCTTCCCGAAGCCAAACCAAACCATCAAAACAATCAGTATTCTTGGACTATGTAATCGGACTCGCTGACTTTGAATGGAGTTGGCACTCATGCTTTTTTGTCAATTCTACCAGGTATACTGTAACAGTACTTCTTCAACTTTTCTCTTGATGACTGATTCGAAAGATTCAAAGACTTTGAAACTTGAATATTGTGACACGTTGCTGGCAATACGCCACTTTTGAGTTATATATCCTGTGCTATTATTTGTTACGCCCAGGATCGTTAGTGCGAGGGCGAATGTCAGTGGCGTGGAGATAAACAGAAGAATTCATTAGGACGACTAGAATAGAAAACAACTAAAAATGTAACTGTGCCAAAGGAGTCTTTAGGTGGATGTTTATTGCCTTGCGTTTCGACGGGTATCGTCTTTTTCCGAGGCCTTGAAAAGCGTCACCTTCAATCCACCACAAAGTTAGTAGTCTGCGACTGCGGACATCATCGAGGGCTGCTCAGTGAATCAGAGTCACATATAGTCCGCGGTTATAGTTGATATGATGATATAAGGACAAAAGGTCATTTGTTTCCATTCAGGCATCCATTTTTGCTATTCATTCCTGTATTTCCTTTATATATCCACGCAGCTGTCAAAACGTAAGAAATGAACACCCAAACACCCACCCAAAATAAGTTTGTAAATCATTACGATGTAACATAATGCCCGGATTTGAAAGGGGGAGCACATGGGAGCCACTTACCAATAAACCGCCACAAATGTTCTCTCTAACGCGCAAAGCCCTCTCGCTTCACCAAAGGGTCGTTGCCGTTCGCTAATCTTTCATCTTACTCCAACGGAAGGAGAATGTTCTGCTGAAATTTATTTCAAGATCAAAACTCAGTAATCATTACCTATGACCAACATCTATCACGGCATTCATCCTTGACATAAGAATATTTTCTAAAATTTGCTGTTATGCTTTTGCCAACCTAACTTCCCCATCAATGTGTCAGGACTTTGATATGTA